TGTCAAAGTCAAAGATACAATAATCTTAAATTATTTCCAATCCCAATTTTTAAAATTCCTTTGTTAACTTTAAATACTTTTACAATTTTTTCATATAAACACATGATATTTGTATTTTTTAAGGATTTTAGTATGTCAGATTACAACAATAAGTGAGAAAGGAAAAGTCATAGATAGGTCTTAAATGAAAGGAACAAGGCAATGAAGGCAGAAATGCACATTAAAAAAATGTCACCTAAAGGGATATAAATTCACCTAAATTTATAAAATCCTTGAAGGAATTTCTAAAGAATGAAAGCAAAGAACATGGATTCAGATTTATTAAAATTTAAATCACAAAGCAATTGAAATATGGATAATTATATGCCCATGTAGTACAAAGAAATAATATTTGTTGAAATTCCAAGTTGTTATAAAACTATTTTTCTCTACAAATGATAAATAGTTCATACATTACAAACAAAAAAATATGTTGAATTTTTTTTGGTCAACCTATAAGTAAATAATAATAATTTAATGACAATGTATTTTGCATGTTTCTTGCATGTGGATGTGACAATAGGTATACAAATACCTGTTTTTAAGTAAAAGTAATTTTGATCAGCTACACATTTATTTAGGCCCTTAATTACAGTATTGTATTAAATGTTAACAACATATACATATATATGTTATGAAAATGGCATGGATATTTTCATTCTATATTATATTGCTCAAATTATTCTTTTATGAAGAAAAATTTGTTACAAAGGTAAAATGAAGTGTTAAGATTCCCATTAATTATTAGAATCTGTTATTATAATACCCACTTATACACTTAATGAATTGTATATTTTATGAAATTATATTCAATGCAAAATATTATCAAGAAGAAAATATGCATAGAAACTAGACATATATTTCTTTCTATAATTATGCCTATTTCTGTGGTATACTATTCATGTTCCTTTTCAAGATTTAATGACAAAAATATTCAGAGAATTTGTTTTTAAATTATATCCCTTACCGACTAACAATTTTAAATAAAATTTGATCTTTTCTGTATGGGGATGTCATCTCTGTGAGAGGAGTTGTTCAGTAGAATTCTATTATGCAGTAGACATGAACAAACTCTGGCTGGTGATGATGCTGTAGATGGCTTACCAGTATTATGACCAAACATACTTGCATTATGCTGTAATACAACGATGAAATGGATGTGTCCTAACATAAGCAGGAAAACATATTCATGATCAAACAGAGCCAGATTATCTGAGTTATGTTTCACTTTGACTTTCCCCTCCAACCTCATGGTCAGTCTAGGAAGCCACCTGTCTATTTACAAACAATTTAATGTACCCTGGGGCATAAAATTCAGGTAACTAAACTTTCTTATGTTTTGTGCAGGGTAACAGTTCTCAAGCTCAGAGTCATGTTGTAAAAGCAGTCTTGTGAATACAATCAATAGACCCTTTGGCATCGGAAAGGGAATTGTCCAGGCTTATTGTATTCTGGGAGAAGAAAGGAAGAAAGAGAGAAAGAGAGAGAGAGAGACAGAGAGACAGAGAGACAGAGAGACAGAGAGACAGAGACAGAGACAGAGAGAAAGACAGAAAGACAGAAAGAAAGAAACAAAGAAACAAAGAAACAAGGAAAGAAAAGAAAAGAAAAAAAGGAATAAACTGGGTATATGTACTGAAACTGCAGTTCTCTTTTCTAAAATTATGATTTTTGCCTCCTTTTTATTTCATCTATTCATCAATAGAACAATATGAGCATCATGCTGAATATAATTTATAATCATCTCCTAATATTACCCAGTCTGTATTCCATCTGTCTAGCTATCTCCCAAATGTGTTTTTCAGTTTTTTTCTGCAGTCTGATACAAATTGGGCTAATAAACCAAGTATCACCATTTCTAGTGTAAAAGAAAAGGAATGGGAGAAGATCTTCATTTATAGAAGACATATACAGGTACTCTATGGATCTAATTCTGATAGCTGTCACATGTAGATATATTAGTAATGCATACTATTACTATTGTTACTTAAATGAAATACATCCTTTGTTGTATTTTAAAGACCACGTCTCACTAAGTAGTTCAGGCTGGCCTTGAACTCACTATGTAGCCCAGGCTGGTCTCAAACTCCCCACAGTCTCTTGCCTCAGGCCCCTAATTGCTGGGATTACAGACATATGCCACCATGCCTGACTAAAAGAGATAAATTTTTTAAAGCACCTAGTAGAGTGATTGCTCTATGGGCAGTATGAATGATTACTAATTACCATCGCTATTATCTTTAAGGTATAACTAATCAATGCTATGATATTAATATTATTGCTTAACCTATTCTTATGCTGAGTAAAAGAATTCAATAAGGAATTTTTGCTAGAAGTATGGTCCTGAGTCTTACTTTGAAAGATTCATGGTCCTTGAAATTGATTGATGTATGTAATAAATTATTCATAGTAGTACTTAAAACCTTCAGTAAAGGTGTCACTTAGTAATTTAATGTTTCATTGTTGTTCTACTGAGAGAAAGAACTAGAATTCTTTCGAAGTTTTAATTTTTCAAACTATTGCCCATCTTTTGACCCTTGTCTTGTCAGAGACGAACGTCTGTTGATTGTAATTCGCCATGTGTGCAGAGCTGTTATTAAGGAGATGGAGTGCAACCAATGAGCTGCCTGTCCATGACAGGGTCGGTCTCGGTGTTATCCGATAATCTACTCTGTTCCCCACAGGGCAGGCGGACAGCAGTTGGAATTGTCACTTTGTATCTAGGGAAACAAACAGGAGAATTAAAAGACTTATTCAAGGTCATCTAGGACATCACTGGCATCCAAGAAACAGAGCTTGGAATATACTAAAGCCGATCACCTCTTGAGGGGTTTTAAGTTTAGCATGCAGTTAGTGAGTAATTTGCCAGAAGATACCATTTTATACCTCCACATTATTTATTAGATCCAGCATCACAAATTTATTACCTCTTTGATAAGAGTATGGAAGGAGGCCCTAGGTAAGCCTTTTCCAGAACTATTATTTTTATTTGAAAATATGAACACTTTTATACGAGATCGGAGAGAGGGTTAATGAGCAGTAGTCAAGATGGAGGAAGCTCATTTCTATTTTTGAACTAGTTTAATGGGTTGATAGTTTATAATTTACCGAACATGCTTGCATATTACTTTTGATCTCAGAAGTAGTGAGCTGTGTCTTCATTTATGTGCAGCACCATATGCCAGCAGTAGTAAAAGTTACTCTTCTTTCAACACTCTGCATAGGGCATACTTCCTGAGAGGAAAAAAAGACTCAAACAAATTCAGATGGTAAAGAAGGAAACATGTATAGCTCCTTAATTAAAAACCTAGTCTCATGCAGCTTAATTTGGTCCTTCAAAGGAAATTGAATAAATTTTCAAAGGAAGAAAATAAGTGCTAGACATATGAATATATTTTGATAATTTTCCCATTGAATGAGAAACAGCTATCATTTATTGGGCATTCAGTACTTGTCAAGCATTATTCAAAGAAACTTAAAGGACCTTTCAAATCAAGAAGCCTCATGATTTATTTACTTTAAAGTGGTAGAAGTAGGCTTAATTAATTAATTTTGAGATTTTTAAGGACATCAAATGGTTTTAGACCCTGGGTTAGGCTTATGGTAAATATATAGTAAATGACAGGAAATTGCTACTGATTATTTTTTGTTTAAATTTTGTTGACCATTCTTTTCATTGGTTTCCTTCATATATTTAGGTATTTTGCTATTGTATACCATTGATTTGGTAAAGTATGTTTTCATTATTCTGAACATTTTATCCAGAATACTGCAGGTTTTGGGGAGATTTCTAGTTGTGTGTTCATCTATTGGTGTCCTATATACTAATATCTAGGTATTGTATGCATCACATTCTATGTGAATAATCTAATAAATGAATCCCACTGAAGGGATCTATTCTTTTGAAAAATTTTCTTCTCAGACCTATTCAGTAGTTCTACTACTAGAATATATCTAAAATTTATTTCTAACTTTTTTTACTCCACACTGAGGATAAAATCAGGGCTTTGCAGAGATTAGTCAAGGGCTATACATTTGAAATGAAATTTCTTTTTGATAACACCATTACATGAAGAAGCCCATGAAATATTAAGATCTTCAGATTATCAAATTGTATTTACTTCAAGATTATTCTTTATGTGACAAAATGTAATAGGCTCCAGCTGCTAAGGTTGTGAATATGGTAGTTCAGGGATAAAGGACATTTTCTACACATCCTGCATGCATCACGTAGGGAAATGGAGGATGCAATGTGTGTATGGCTAAAAATGTAACATTTCCAAATAATTCGTGTCATGCCAAAGCAGTTTAAATGTACTGTACTTGCAACTCTGTACTCAGTATGATAATTAGGGAGTAATACCTGAATAAACTCTGTCTGTAAAGTTCTTATTCTTCCCCATAGCAGATTAAATACAAATGCATACTTTAGTATAGTCATATGCTACATAATCATACATCATTGTGATCTTTATACTTGCTATGTACATGTATATGATTTATAAATGTACACCATCATATTTTTGGATATATTCCCAGTAATTTTGTAAGGATTTACCTGAACGTGTATGCACATGTAGACAAGTATGAAAGTTATCATTTAAAATTAAATTCTGAGGGGCTGGGGATTTAGCTCAGCGACAAAAGCGCCTGCCTGGCAAGCGCAAGGTCGTGAGTTTGGTTCCTGTTACCAGAGAAAAACCAAAAAAAAAAAAAAAAAAATTAAATTCTGTTACAGTTGAAATGCACTATTAGTATGAATATTAATGCTCACACTTTAATATTAAACAGATTTTTGAAAAAATAAACCAGGAAATTTTGAATAAATAACAAACTATAAACTATAAAGTATCTCTGATTTTAAATGAATATGTTTTATAAATACACTATAATGACCACTTCTACCTAAAATACTTCCTACATAGGAGAATGATTTTAAATCTAATTATCACCTGTTTTAGGCTAAGATGACTCAACTGCCTGAGGCAGAAAAGGAAAAGATTGCTGAGCAAGTTGCTGATTTCAAGAAAGTAAAGAGCAAGTTGGATGCTGAGATTGAAATATGGGATGATACCAGCAACGACATCATTGTTCTTGCTAAGAAGATGTGTATGATCATGATGGAGATGACCGACTTCACGAGGTAATGACATGCAAAATACTGTGTGTTATTAACAATAGTTAGAAACATTTGTCACACTACTGAAGTCCCAAGCTCCTCTGAGGGGCAGGTGCCAGAATCAAGTGCTAGGGGAAACATAAATAATACACAATTAGAAAGATATAGGTGTATAATTCTGGGTGATGTGGTAGATATGTAAACAGGGTAGAGTTTCTCATAAACTGGAAGGGAACTTTGACACTGCTTTATATGCTCTTTCATCTTCCTTTCCTCAGTAATATTTCTGAAGCATCAATATTAGCATGATATATTTATCAAAAAGAAAAAAAAGAGTGAACTAAGTGATGACCAGTGTTGACAACATCCAGATGTTTGATTTCTACAGTTACATAACTTTAGTTAGTTGTAGTAATTCATAGCATCATCAAGGCTAAGTGATACATTCTGCTCCAGAGACAGCTACTACATGTACGTAAAGGTACAATGACTTAATGATATCTGTGAATTAATCATACATTGTATGTATATTCCAGAAGAAATACAAATGCTTGTTTTATGTTTGAAATTTAATTTCATAGAGCTAACCAAATCCCAGTAGAATGTATACTGCTTGCTGACCAGTAACTAACACATACAATACTACACCGATTTAAATAATTTAGTCTTCGTGTAATTAAAAAAAGCCAAAGAATAGAAGAATAGCCTGAAGCAGATATGCTGGATTTTGGAAACCACATACGTATTGAAGTAAAAGTTAATTTTCAGATAAGGTATTGTAGAAAATGTTCATAAGGTTTTCAGTGATATTAAGACTGAGAAAAATTTCTAAGCATTACCACAAAGAAAGAACTCAAGAAGAATTATTAAATTCAATTATTTAAAAAACTTTTATATATCACTAGAATAACTTACACAATATCAAAATGGAAAGCTTGCTAAATGTTTATAATAAAGAATAACAAAATATGTGATGCTAATGTACTTATTTATTATATAGTTATATAATGAAAACTTACACATTGTTAAAAATGAAGATAAATATCCTAGATAAGAATAAACAAAATGTACAAGTAGTAGTTCACCATTTTATCTACAAAGAGGTGACTAATATTTATGAAATATTTATCATGAGAATAGTAAAATGATAACTTTTACTTCTGTAAAATTGGCATAAACTGTCATGATAGACAAGGTGTACATCATGATAGTTAAAGCAAAAACTAGTATGAGCTTTTATTTGGTAACATCTATAAACAAAAACTCTAATAAACTTTTGATAGCTATCTGTTCATGTGTCTATGCTGCACTTCAGGGAGCCTAGCTGTCCAAAGAAATTATCTGGAACAAATTTCAGTGTACCTTTAAAACAGTAAAACACTTGAGTTCTGCTATATAAAGAAGAGGCTACCAAAAGTTAAGATTTTAAAAATAGTATTTCAAGCAAGTTAGAGTATTTAATGAAAGGGAAAAAGTAGTCTGAACTAAATTTTATAGTATAACATATTCAGCTATATTCTTATTGATATTTCTCTTTGTTTTATTTCATGCCAAAGATAGAACTTGGTACTACTTCTTTAAAAAAAAATCTACCCTATGATGATATTGAGCACTGAAGATTTCACTGCAGGTTTCACTAGGAACTAAGAAAGCTAAATTTATAATATACTATGCATAGAATGTATAAAGAACGCCTTTTAGATGTCAGTCTTCATTTTTATTACTGCGTGTTCAACTTCCGCTGTGCTGGGGTTCACTTCAGGAAGTCAGCCTATGCTTTTAACACACTTTAATCAGTGTCAGTCGCAATGTCCCTGTCTTGCTTTCCTCCCCATGCCCCACTTCTCCCGCTCCCTAGCTTCAAAGTTAGCCTCCTGCCTTCCTCTTTTGTCCCTTATGTCTTCACTCAGTGGCTTCTGAATCATTCAGGTTTCTCATAGAAGAGAAATTACGCAATGTTTAACTTTGAGTCTGGCTAATTTCATTGAATATGGTGCTCTACTTCTCTCTCCTTTTCTGCAAATGATATGATTTCATTCTTTTTTATTACGAGTAATATTCCATTCTGTAAGTATATGACATTTTCTTTATCCATGCAGATGTGGACTGACATTTATGCTGTTTTCATATAATAGGAATTGTGAATTGTGTCTCTACAAACATGGGTATTGCTGTATCCCCGCAGTATGCATTTCTTTATTATTTCAGAAATATGCCCCAGAATGGTATACATGTGTCAAATAATGTTCCTATGTTTAGTCTTTTGAAGAAACCTGTACTAATATCCATAGCAGTTTTTCTAGTTCACATTCTCACCAATGACATAGGAGGATGCCCTTTCCCCCTGTATCCCCCCATTTCCCTTTTTCCCTCTTAAACTCTTGTCATGTTTTCTGGCTGTAGCCTACAGCTTCTAGGAGTGCTTTCTTTCATCCTTCTGTACAGAATGATTCACTTTTCATATGTGCCTCAGTTTCTGTGGACAAACATTCTGAGCAATCTCATGGTCCCCTTCTCTCTGTCTTTGTGTATCTCTCTTTGCTTCCACATGTAAGTATAGACATATATAATATAGATGTACAAAACATATACCTGTATGCAAAACAAAACTATAGCAATAGTATTAAGTAAAGAATATGTTTTAGTAGTTCAATTGTGAATAATTTGATTGTAATTTTAATCTTAATTTGTTAATGTGCTAAAATAAATACATTATATGGTTGTTTTTAAAAATTTACAATTAATTTTAGGTTGACCACATGATAGTGACAGATGATTAAATTAAAATCATCCCACTGAAACTTTGCGATTACTAAGAACAAAATGAAACACAAGAAAAAGTTTTGTACAGTGTCAGCTTTGAATCTTTCCAACTGAGGTGAACAAAATAATATAAAATTCAAATTTCCTTATATAATATGCACACCAAATTCCAACAGACCTATTAACAATTCTTTGTCACTGTCATGAACCCATGATGCTAAGAGAGTCAGGGACTGAGATAATTGAAATACTACATAAAGAGGGGCTGGGGATTTAGCTCAGCGGCAAAAGTGCCTGCCTGGCAAGCGCAAGGTCGTGAGTTCGGTTCCAGGTACCGGAGAAAAAACAAAAAACAAACAAAAAAAAAGAAATACTACATAAAGAAATATATGTCAAAAAGCAAAATATAAAGTATTGAGGAAAACTGGACCAAAAAACAACATGTGATACAAATTGCTAAAATACTGAACACAAGTCTAATGGTGACATTTTATAACACAGTTTAGAGGAAAGAGCTTAAAGTTGAACCAGCACATAGGTATAAACATGGTATTGTTTCTCTAGTGTAAGAAACCAAAAGTGTAAATAAGGACCAAAGTGTATAGTAGATATCATGAAACAGAAAGAAAATGTTCAACTGGGGAGGGGACTAAGGGAGGTGGGGAGGGGTAAAGGAAAGAAGGAAAAACTAAAAAAAAAAAAAAAAATGAGAAAAGAAGAAAAATATGAAAACAAAGCTTTTGTAGATGGGGAGGGGAGGAGGGGTTCAAGGACGGGGAGGGGAACAGGGAAAAAAGAATCAAGTTATGTCATGTATAGGTACAAATTCCTTATGGTGAATGTGATCACTATATTCATCTATAATGTAACAATAAAATATGATCAAAACAGTAAATAAAATTGAATAGGATTAGAATTGAGCACTTTATATACATCTTCACTTTTGAGGCACAGCATATATTGGGTACGTGATGCTAAAGATTCCCAGAGATTGGGAAATAATAAGGATCACAGTGGAATGAAAGTCAACTCTCTCTTTTTCACCACCAGCTTTGAAAACCTTCATTCATTAGAGGAAAGTGGATGTCACAAAAGTCATGCAAGAGAGTGAACTTGACTAGAAACACTCTTTAGAAACTGGAAGATTCACACCTACTGTCTGTAAAACTGGCATAAGAAAATACGGAAAGTGAGAATCCAAAAATTCATGTGACAAAACCTCTGCCTCTAAGAATCAAACACAAAACATAACAAAAAAATAAAACTTGCTCTGCATTTTGAACTGAAAAAATTTAAAAAATAAAGGTTTAGAATTATGTAGGTAGGGGCTGGGGATTTAGCTCAGTGGCAAAGCACCTGCCTGGCAAGCGCAAGGTGGTGAGTTAGGTTCCCGGTACCGGAAAAAACAAACAAACAAACAAATAAACAACAACAACAAAAATTATGTAGGTACACATTATTCAAATGTAGCCTCTGAAAACTAAAAAAGTAAGAGAAATGAATCAAAAAAAGAGAAAATGGGGTGGAGAATACAATGATTTGAGGAAAGATTTTTTTTAAATTAAATGATCAAGGGTCTCAAAAATGAAAAATAAGTTGTGATGTCCGCAGTCAAAAAGATTCAAATAAAAGTTTCATAAAGGACATTAATGACAATCAGTGCATTAACTAGGAAAATGAATATGTGACCGAGAATGCCTGGGAGACAAAGGAAGACAAAGGTCAATGGAAGAGAGGCTGAGATGGTGGAGGAAAGGAGATCCAAAAGACACATATTCTGAACCTTTGAAGACTAAAAATAAGACAATTAGTATCGAATGATATAGACAAGAAAATTTTCCACATGAAAGAAAACCTAAATTTACATATAGAACATTTACCTAGGAAATTTGATGCAAAGCAGTCAATACCGAACAGACACATACATTTTCTTGATAGGATACCCCATTATATAACAGAATCATGTGTGTAACCATGTAGGAGCTAGCAAAATAAAACCAAATAAATAGTAAGACCAGAAGTGCTCATCACTGCAGAGGGAGGGTAGGTACTTTACACTTCATCTGAAGTCACTTTTTGTGATTGTATCTGTATCTCTAAGATGTGCTTTTCCTAATATATAAATTATCGACATTTTCTTTTTTATTTTAAAGAAAATAATAATACTAATAAAACAAAAGTAAAAGCAGTAAAAATGATACAAGGTTTCAGAACAAAATGATAGGAATTAACAGTGGTTGTTATATTATACATTGTTATCT